GTGTGTGGTGTGGTGTGGGGAGTGGAAGTCTGTCTGTCTGTGTGTCTGTGTGTCTGCTCAGGCGTTTCTGCATGTGTTCTCGAGCGAGGTGCGCATCGGCGCCTTCGTCCAGGACAACATCAACCTCCACGAGAAGGACAAGGGCGTCCACGTCTCCGAGTACCTCCGAGCCATCATGATGGTGTGCCTCGATCGCGACCCCTCCTCGAGGTCCCGACCACCGTTGGTACGTACGTACGTACGGCACACACTTCCATCAATCGACTGGCTGGCAGGCAGGCAGGCAGGCAGGCAGCTCATGCATTCATCCGTATGTATGTATTTGTCTCTCTCTCTCGGTGTGTCTGTCCATGGCCATGCTGCCAGCTCATCAACGACCCATTCTTCCAGAAGCACTTTCTGGGCGTCGAGCACACGGGCCCTTCACCAGGCAGCGAGGCATACGACATCTTGCGTGTGCGCACCCCCTCGCCGTGTCCACTGCCGGGCAATCCCTTCTTCCAGCCCGTCCAGGACATCGATACGCAGGACCGTGCGGTGGCGCCAGCAGCCGCTTCGGCTGGGTCTCACCAGTATCGCGCTTCGACAGCCAAGTAAGCAGATAGAAGCCCATTACATATACGAGGCAGACACACTTTAAGAAGAAAGCGAGACACACATGCACAAGTGTGTGTGTGGCAGGCGTTTCCCTGGCTGGATGAGGGAAAGGTGTTAATCGGTGCCTGCATTTTATATTGGATCGTGAGTGTGCAGTCATTTTCCAGCCGAAGGGCGACAGCTTTTTCGTCGGTGGCAGGCAAGTCCGGGGAGATGGAGTGATGAAATTTCTGAGACATGTGTCTCTTGATTTTTTCAGAGGCGAAGGAAGCGATGGAAGCCAAGCTTGACAAGGTGCATCAGAGGACTGGCTGCGGGGCTTTGCGGCGGGGCAAAGGTCACAGCAGCTGCTCTCATCGAGCCGTTCTGCCCGACGTCCTGCGCAGCCATCAGTCCTGCCGCCCACACATTGACCAGCGGGTCAAGCAGCGCCTGAAGAGGATGGACAGAATTGCATTCGGCCTGCTGGAGAAGGCATTCGCCCGACCATGGATCAGAAACAGGAACATGCTCATGAGCAAGAAGGACTACGAGCTAGACATGAGTAGGCCAGCCACCGACGACAGCACTCATCAAGTTTGACCGTCATCATTCATGCGTTTGGTGTGTGTCCTTTGTTGATTCAGTCAGGGCGCTGCGGGCGCTCTGTGCGGCTGCCATCCATGTGTTTGCCGATGTCTCACTGCATAGCCTCCCCGGATTCACCATCGGCAGCTACGCGAGGGATTTCGGCTTTGACGTGACAGTGATGGTGAGCGGGAGAGGAATGTCACACGGGTGGATGGGTGGTGTCATCTTGTCTTTGTGTGCGTGTACATATGTGTGATGGCGCAGACGAGTACGCGGAGGTGGACATGATTGGCGAGCTGCTCACCCGCATCTGGCCGATTGGGATCAGCCTGCACCGGATCGTAGGCAACCGACACACCAAAACAACGATCACCTGCACGTATGTAACCATTCTGTCCCTCTCTATCCGACCAATGATGCGATGGGTTCGGAGTTTCTCGACCAGAGGTTCCCGGTGCCGTACGCCGATCGCGTCCACAAGACGGTGCTCATCCACAAAATGATCAGCCTGCTCATCCACGGCGGAGAGGGCAGCAAACGACCAGGCAGCCGAGGAAGCTGCAGAAGAGGAAGGGGATGTTGTCGAGAGAGGTGAGCAAACCTGGAGGGAGACGTGTATTTGATGCCTGGCCATTGTTATCTCTCGGTTGTGATGTCTTCCCCTTCAGAGCTGTGTGAGGCCGCCCCTGTCGCTCCTGCTAGCCCTTCCCCGTCATCCGTGACAGCCGACCAGGGCGGGGCATCGGACGGCTCCTCCCCTCTGATGCCCGTCTTGTGCCCGACCTCACCGCCTCAGCAGCAGTGCAGCACAAAGCGACCCGCAGTTGTTGACGAGGTCAACAGATCGGGCAGCGACGAGGAGGACACTGCAGTGGCCGAGACAGACGACCTGGAGGCCCCTGCAGAGATGTCAGCCCAAGCCAAGGCCGCCCTCTCCGGCTTCGAACCCGATCCGTACGCCCGCTCCATTGGCGAGAGGTTCACCATCGTCCGCGGCAAGCTCAAGGACAACACCAGCCGCCCGGTGATGCTGCGTGGCGTGACGTTTGTCGGGTTCCGGGCTGACAGCGGCCAGCAGGCCGTGGTGGACCGCCTGACGCGCAAGCTGCGCAAGGAGGCCCGCATCATGGAGGCCATTAATGGGCGGAGCGGCGGTCGGGGCGTCGTGCCGAGGCTGGTGGCGTGGGGCGATGTGGGGGTGTCCGCGGCCTGGCCGTGGCCGGAGGGGCGTCATGGCGTCAAGGATCGCCGGGGCGCGCGCTGGTGATGCTGCAGACAGTGTGGCAACAGTGGAAGACGACCGAGAAGCAGCGGCGGACGGAGGTCACGGTTGCGCGCAAGAGGGTCGTGGTGGCACTAGAGGGCACGTTCATCATGATGGAGGCCATCGGTAGGCGGTCATGAATAACATAGCACGCCCGGATTTCACACAATGATGTCTGTTGTCTCTGTAATGTGTGTGCAGACTTCGTCGATGGGCAGACGGCTGACGCACTCGAGCAACGGCTGCACGCGGACCGCAGAGACCCAGGTACATTCTCACACCCCTATGTGCAACCCACGAGTGCTGTGTGTCTGTGTGCAGACACCTACTATGCGTCGCTGTTGTTTGAGGGCAGGACAGCCCTGGAGCTGTTCCGTCAGAGGGGGCCGGGCTCATGAGCCGACCATGGCCGCCGCACAGCCCTCGGGAGCCATTCGGACGACCGCCGCCTCACTTCAGCCCTCTCACGTACGTGAAGAAGTGACTGTCACACGTGTACCATGTGTGATGATCTTGCCTGTGTGCCTCGCCTGTCTGCTCCTGACAGGGTGGCTTCCAGGGCGTGTTCCCGCTGCCTCGACTGACCATGGCGTCTGCGCAGCGATTCCCTGCATCTGTGCCGCCCCTGTTTCGCCCCTCCCTTGCCCTTCCAGCCCAGTACCTCTACGCACCGCCCGGCGCACATGCCCAGGGTGAGGACAGGCAAACCCACTAACGAGGCAATGAATGCATGTGTGTGTGCGTTGCAGCGGGCGAAAGGTCCTTACTGGATAAGTGTTGGTCCCATCGGTGTCTACAATATATCCGGTGGTGAGTTCGTATCCTTATGCGCAGTACCCCAACTTCGAGGGATGGGACTTTTTCGTCTTCATCGCGGAGGGTGCGCGGCTACGTCACATTTGGGGCTACCAATGCAAGGAGGCAGCCAGAGCACCCAACAAGGCAACCACCAGCACGATCAGGAAGGGCCTGACCGGTACCCTCAGGCCAGAAGCAGCAGCGGCAGCAGCGGCAGCAGGTCCTTGCTGGAAGAGTGCTGGTCCTATCGGTGTCTACATTTTATATTGGATCGTGATTTTCACCCTCTTGCCGCATCGTGGTGTGTGCCCCTCCCATCTGCTGTTGTTTGAGGCGTTGCTGACTGGTGGGGTGTTCCTCAAGCCGTTCTTGAGAGCAAGTGGGCAAACCGGAACAGGCGAATTAATTGACACATTCATTCATGGGCTGTAGGTCGTCTCTGTGCCGTGCAGACAAGGTATGGTTGGTGGTGTCGAGTACGCACCGATGGAAGTGCTGAGGTGGGAGGAGGGCCAGCTCTACGGCAAACAAGTCGACTCATTTGCATTTGGTATATATGGGACACAAGACGGACACAGCAGAAGAAGAGAGAAGCGCTTAGACAAATAAATGTGTGTCCGTTTGTTTTTGTCTGTCTGGCTGTGTTGACATCAATCGTAGGGGCTTTCCTCCACTTCACTGTCTTCGGAAAGACGCCATCTGGAATGCTACGCGAGAAAGGTAGGTCACCGACACACACACACACACACAGTGGGATTTGGTGAATGTCTGTGTGGTTGGTCATTCACCAGTATGTGGAGACCTTCTCGACCAAGCAGGGCGTCACCAACTACGTGAACTGGATGGCGGTGATGCACTTCCACGACAAGGGCATCTACCTGCCGGACGATTTGCGGACCGTCATGATCGACTGCCTACAGCCCGACGCATTCTCCCGGCCGTCTCCGTCGCAGCAGCTCATGCACGTACATATTTGTTTGTATGTGTGTCTGTCTCTGTGTCTGCCGGTGCAGATGCTGGAGATCCCCTTCTTCCAGGAGCGTTGGGTGGGGCCGAAGGAGACGGGGCCCCCGCCAGGCAGCGAGGCCCACACACTCTTCCGGCTAGACCGATACCGCCCGCTGCCAGGCAACCCACTCCACAAACAGTGAGCGGACAGAAAGCCCGTCGACCCCTCCCTCATCTGCACACGCAAGCCGGCTGTGTCTGTGTCTGTGTGTGCAGGAGCATTCTACGGAAGGGCTCGTTGTCCCTCCCACGGCAGGTCAAGACCGCCTCCACTCAGACCAAGACGACCTCGCCCCCTCCACCGAGACCCCACACACTTCCGCCCGAGCCAATAGCTCCACCCTCCCTCCCGAGAGCTGGCAGACCAACAGACAGCGAGAGAGACGGAGAGATGGACACATCTGTGTGTATGTGTCGATGCCTGCAGCTGGCCTTCATGGGACCGGACAAGACGCTATGGAATCACCTGAGCTGGAAGCTGCCGCGACTGAGACGCGGGAGCCAAGCCGCATTCCGCCGGTGCGTGGCTTGGGATCAATTCGTGACGCTATCTGTGCGCCTCCCTCTGCCGGTCTACAGCCCGGTGGTTAGCGTCCCTTGCCCATCAGATCTGACACAGCAGGAGGCTCAGCATCAGCAGAATGAGCGTCGGCAGGGCGTCCCGCAGCCGCTGCCTGCAGGTCATCTGGTCCACAGTAGTTCCGCCACTCTGCAGTCGTCAACGAGGCCCTCCCCACTGGCGGCCAACCTCCCCTGCGTCAGCACGGATGCAGCCAGTGCACGCCTTGGATCCCAGGTTCGTGTTCGTCATTCTCAGGGGAAATCAGGTACGGTACTATCAGACGGGCGCCAAGGTTGGGTTGGGTTGGGTTGTCTTGTGTGCAGATGGTGGTGTGGGTGGGGGCTGAGTGTCCCAATGTTGATGCCGCCAAGGAGGAGGTCAGACACTTCAAGACACACATCAGCCGATTCGAGGGCATCCCGAGTACGTCAGTCAGTATCCTATGCTCACCCACTCACCCACCCCACCAACCAGCTGTGTGGGTGGCTCCGTCAGGTATCGATATCCACGTGTGCCGCCAGGGCCAGGAGGACCCCTTCTTCTGGCGGCTGCTCGACCTCAACCGTGGCAGCCATGACACCAGCGTCAGATTCACCAAGCGTCCACAGGTGAGCGAGCACATCACATCGCACAGACCGACCAAATCGCCCCATTTCCATCCGTGTGCGTTCAAGAATGAACCGACTGACTCGGCAGAATGGTCCACCAGGCGTCTTCGGCAGCCCCACACCCATGGTCAACGTCACCGACCCCGCCATCGCGCCCTCACCCAGCCTCCCACCCAACAAGCTGTACCGGTACCCCGATCTGCAGCAGGAACTGGAGATGTACGACACGCACGACCTCGACGACGGTTAGTCCCATCGGTGTCTACATTTTATATCCGGTGGTGAGTTCCTATCCTTCTGCGCAGTGCGGATAGCTTGCTGTATTCTGTATTTCATTGCATCCATTCGAGCAAGACATGTCCCATATAAATGCCAGCCATACGTTACCGTTGAGCTGCGTTCATTTTCACACCGCCTTCCGTGAGCGGGCAGCCCATTCGATGGAAAGAGCGAAAGGCGTGTCTCCTTCCATCGAATGAAATCGCTGACGACACGCGAGAGGTGTATTATTCCAATGTCGACTTGAGTGCGTATGAGTGAGACATGGCCTGGCGAGAAGGGGAAAGGTCAACCACAGCCATCCATCTATTGTCCCCGGCGCAAGTGCGGGTCCACACTGGTGTCATTCAAGCCACACTCACCATCTACCTCCCATCTATGCACACAAGTCGGCACAAATCATACTGAAAGGTTGCCGACTTGCTGTGTGTGGACGTGTACAACATAGATCCACCACCACTGAATCACCACCGCTGAAAATGAGTTTGATGTCTCTCTTCTAAGTCCATCCATCCATCCATCCAATCATTTCAGGCTGCCTGTATGTGTGTATCCTGCGGACAGCAAGCAGCCAACGCTCACACCTTCACTCCCCCCGCCAGCACGGCAGCCACCTCGTCACGCACTCCCACGTCTCACTCCGCCCTCCTCACCACACACTCCTTGGCCTGCTCCAAGGTGTCGGCAAAGCCTGCCTGGCACCTGGCCATGGCGCCCCTCACGGCCCAGCAGCCCCCTTCCCTCTCGCTATGTACCTCCCACCAACACTCGTCCGCCCGCACCCAGTACAGTGCCTCCCCAGTGGCAGGGCACTCATACCACCCCCCTTCGCCCTCGCCCGCAGCCCAAACCGGCACCTCCTTCGGGTACTCGTCAAACGACGGCTGCTGTTGGTGGTATGGGTGTGGCTGTTGGCTGGTGGGGGCGAGTGGTGGGTGGTGGGGGAGGGGCGCCTGGGGGGGGCTGTGGGGGTGGTGGTGGTGGTGTGGCGGCGGGGCTTGGAATGTGGGCGGTGGCGGCTGCGACGGGGAGCAGAAGGCCGAGGCGGCCGTGGCGGCTGTGGCGGCTGTGGCGGCTGTGGCGGTGTGGGTGGCCCCGTTGGCCTTGGCCTCCCTTTCCCTCTCCTCCTCGGCCATTTTCTGTATTCATTCAGAGAGACACAGACAGAACACAATTAACTAAGGCACTTTCGCTCTCTCGAGGAAGGCACGCAGGAAGGATTTGCACATGTGTGTGCGCTCTGTTGCTCACTTCTCTGATGAAGGCTCGGCACCTCTCTGCGGCGGCATCAATTTTGGCCTGAGTTTCTCTCATGAGGGCCTCCTGAGGTGGAACCCACACACACAGACAGAGAGAGAGGTGAGAATCTGATCATACTGACCTATGTGTCAGTCAGTCAGTTTGGGAGCGAAGCAGTGCGTGTGAGACTCACTCACCTGTTCGTCAAACGTCAGGTCCCGATCCAGCGGCGAGCGGGCCTGCAATCAAAAGCAAGGGACCCACACATGCCTGCATCGCTTTCTCCCATACCATGCGGTCGTACTGCTGCCTCGCCAGACGGTCCGTGAGGACCTTGTGGGCCTCTCCGATGGCCTTGAAGGCCTCCGTGTCCCCGCCAGGCTTGTCGGGGTGGTGGGTCTGCAGCAACCAGGAGTCCAGGACACAGCCGCACACAGACAGGGAGAGGGGGATGAGCCGAGCTGCCTTTGGTCAAGGGAAGCTCCACGCAGTGCAAATGGGTCAGCGCTACACTCGTCTGGCTCCATGGCGTCTCTGGTGCGTGAGACTTCCCCCCAGCCTTTTGTGGCCTGCCTTGATTGATATCAGTGCATTCACTCACGAGTGCCAGGCGGTGGTACGCCAGCTTGATCTCCCTCTCAGTGGCCGTCGGGGGCACACCCAGGCGGGCATAGTAGCCCTCCGGGTCGCGGTGGCGCTTGTCGGTGACAAACATGTCAGAAGTGCAAGTCGGTCCAGGGTTTAGGGTCTAGGGTTCATAGACCGACGATCCACTGATCTGTGAGACAGGACGGCTGTTGAGTCTTTGTCCGTTCCATGAGACAGGCCATGGCGGACAGGACGTCAGACAGGATGGACTGACGCATACTACATGTCCTACGTGG